CAAAGCCTCTCGCGGTCAAGTCTTCCTCTCCTCCACGCGGTCCCCGCTGGAAACCTTGGTCGTGGCAGCATATGGCAGCCACCGACATTAAGGGCTAACGGAGTCGAAGGCGACAAGACTCGATTGGAAGTCCCAGACGGAAAATCGAGTCGTTGGACGACACAGCATGTCACGAGTCGGTGTCTAACGACCAAATGTCTCTAATGTGACGCATACCCACACAGCACTGTCATGAGTCGGAGTCCTTTGGACCAAATGGCTCGAATGTGACAAAACGCACAGCATAGCCACGAGTCGGAGTTGAAAAACCAAATGGCTCAAAAGTGGCAAGCACGGAAATACGTGTTGGTGGGCCAAGTCCTAGAGGCTGACCCCGGATCCTAAACCCTTCCACTTATCCCCCTGGCGGTCTAATCCCTCTTCTCCCGTCGTTCACTTACGTTGTAAACGAAGTAAAGGATGGGGACCGCTAATGAGCTCCACCGGGCCCTGCACCTCAAGCCACGCGCATGGGGTGACGGAACCGGGGAACTCAGTTTCCTTCTTACTCAACAGGTCATCGTTGGGAAGAACTCTAGTCTGTACTGGTAAATGCGACCACGCGGTGGCGCTCTTTCACACACTCCAACATAACATCGTTGGTTAATAACTCTAGTCTGTACTGGTTCATTGGTAGGCGTGTCCAAGTAATGGCGCTCGTTCCAAGGCTAAGGTCGTATTGGAAGTCGTGCTGATAGTCTGCATGGCCGCTGGAATGTTAAGAGAGCGGTCGCAAGCGACACCCCCGGGGTATCTACCGCCCCCCCGGGAAGGTTAGGTTTGATGGCGCGAAGGTGGCTCCGCGCCTTCCGACATCTTTTCCACCATAGAACAAACGCATATGGATCAAGACAATAACAAAAACCCGAGCCATCGAGCTCAAGGACTATGCCCCCGGACAGTAAAAATTACACTACAGAGATGTGACGCGACCACGGAGAAAGGACCGACCTCGAGTTCGAAGTCGGAGTCGCCAAGTCA